TTTTTTTAAAAAAAGTGTTATTTTAAAAAATAATCTGTACAATAAGAAATGAAACTATACACAGCTGAGGCCATTATATTGAAGAGGAACACTTACAGGCATGGCAAAGGAATATTCTTTTAAAAAATAAATGGAGTACTACATGCTCTTTGTTCAGTGGTCTAGATACCCATGTAGCATTTTTTTGAGCACAGTGTAAGGGAAGCTTCCGTGCTACGACAGCAGATAAGCTGATCATTTTTCAGTAGTTACCTTGGAGACTGTCACCCTAAACTTTAATGTCCTGTACAATTCAAAGTTTCTTTAGGGCAAGAAGCATTTCAATGTCTACTCCTTCAGATCACGAATGTGAATATTACTGAGGCACCTTTTTAAGGTTTTAAAAAGAATATTTGAACAGGCAGCTGATTGCATGTTAATAGTTACTTTCACCTGTTTAGGTTTCAGGGTCCATTAGTGAAAGGAACTCGGCCATGAATGCTATCAGAAGAAATATCTGCTGGCTTGCTGCGTTTGTAGTACCAGGAAGAGCATACTGTCAGCAGTGCCTGCATCCTGAAAACAGATTTTGGGATGCTGTGGAGCTGCCCATACTTTTCTGCTTACTTTTAAACCTCTTTATACTTTCCCACATTTTAAAACAGCACCGTTGTGCAACCACACTTTGTTATTCAATGTTTTGAAACGCATCACTTGACAACAGTCTAATGACAGACCGCTCAATAATTAAATATATTACACACAGCCAAATCACCATCCACTGAAGGCCAGCATAGGAAATTAAATGTGTTAGCTACCTCAATTATTTGTGAACTAGGGAGTGAGGTCTGCTGGCCTTGGTTGTGTTACGTACACTTGCAATACTACAGAGGCAATGCCTTAGGAAACTAATAATTACCAAAAGAGCCCATAAATTCCACCTGTTGCCTCAAGCAGGTTTCTTATGATAGTACTTTTTTAAAATTTCTGGGCAGGCAGTTTAAAGTGCATGCATTAAATTCAGACAATAGTTTAGGCTTTATTTCCCACCTTTCCCTTTCATGTTTAAGGCAAAAAACCGGAAAAATGGGGGTTGGGGGTGGGGAGAGAAGTTTTGAAGATTTAGATCTCAACAGTTCTTGGGTTAACATCCAAAACCTGGATTAACTAAAGTTAAAAATGAACGAGATGGCGTTTAGATTTAACCTGTGTCATGCACACAATGTATACAGCAAACATAAAATTCTTCCTTGTCCCTCCAGAACCAATGTAACTGGAAAGATAATCTTAGATCAAAGTTTTAAGTCTCCTTTTAAGGTATGAGGGTCAACAGCAGTGATATGCATAGCTACTTAGCTCTTCCAATGGATACTTTTAAAGTTCTGTGCCAACAGGGACAAAATTCTTAAGAGGTAGGAATGGGTTACCCTCATTTTAAAGAAAACAGATCCACATGCTACACATTCAACAGAAGAAACAGTGCTACAACTCTGCAATCCTAATCCCAGGACTAGGGAATCCCAAGATTTTCTTATTTCTATATTCACTCCATTAGACTAGCCACCCCTCCTCCCTCCCCAGCCCAATATGCTCCATCAGTTTAAGGTATGTTATTAAAAGTAAACAAAAACCCAGTGAAATTTGTGTATTACTATCCATCCCAGCTCACATGGAGAAAGATGGACAGGCATAACAGGGACAATACAACCTACACAGGTCTGCACACTTGCAGGCAACCTGGTAGCATCTTTATGAAACACAGAGTTGTGCTTTGCAATTTCAGGAATTAAACAGTGAGACATTATTTGAAGTTCTAGTTTGCAAGATGAGTTCTCAGCACAGCACATAGTGAAAGCGTGCTTCTACATATCTGTTGACATCTATTTGAAAGGCTTCAAAATTAACAAGATAGGTGGAGGAAAATGATACAGGAAATCCCACTGGCCCAGAAATAAAAGCAATGGGACAAAGTTAACAAGGTAGGTGGGAGGAAAGGTTCATTGTGAACATCAGAAGTTTCCTGGCAATTATTCATTTAAGCTGTGGAAGGATATTCCAAATTAAGTAACATAATTTCTCCCGCTGAAGCAATTTAAATGTGTACTTGACAAAAATATTTGCAATGGTGTTGTTCTGCCAATGATGAACTGGGTCTTTCTATATTTTTTACTCCATGATTCAGTAAGCACAGGATAAATATTGTCCCTAAACATATATTCCAGTTTACTATAGATCCAGCAGTACACAGTGCATCTCCTAATAAGTCACCATTATATTCTATGTTGTTTAAATACTGAAGATAACATGGGTCAATAAATATATACATTTTAATATTATGCGTTTTTTGGATCTGCTCTATATGCCTCACTAATACTGAACCACAGCCATTATGTTACAGGCTGTGTGCTCAGACACTCAGTATAATCTTTGTTTCACCAAGCAGTCATACTTGAAAATAAAAATAAAAATATTGGAAAGAGCTATTTCTTCTCAGATGTGAATGTACATGTGTTTAGGCCAAGACAGGCATACAAGCCTATGGTGCAGTGTGTGCAACCCCTAAACATCTGTGAACTCTGGGTATGCACCCTACAGATTTTCATACATACTTGAGGTCTCTCCCCTCACTTTGATAGCCTATGAACAAATTTCCTTTTGAGTCTAAGTTTGCATTAAATAAGAATACCAAACTTCTCACAAAAGAAATAAATGTTTGGCTTTTTCATTTTTGCATAGGATGCCTTGGATTTTGGTTTAAACCCATGTTTTAAACCAGAAACTCATCAATAAAGGTTGAATTCATTGGTAAGTTTATTTTACATTCTAAAAAAAGAAAAACAATTTACACCACTTGTCGGCTTCATACTTCTGATATTCCTGTATTGGCACAATATGACCTAGAGAGTCTCTCTCATTTCTTATATAAAGGAATAGCATAAACAAAGAGGCATAGAAAAGGGTAAAAGCACAAGCTTATGGCTAAGAATTTGATTTTTGGAATTTAGTAAGTTATGCATCTTAAGTGTTTACTTTTCCTTTTGATTATAGGCCTTATACATTCTTTAGAGAACATTTAAATTAAAAATACTGATGCTCTTTGTTTGCCCATGTCAAAACTAGCAAGCAGTCATACTACTTGCATAATTTCCACAAACAGCGTGGGGAAGTTTCCACTCCTGCCCATCTGAGAACCATATAAGCCTATTCAGCAATTTGTGGCATGGTGTTCTAATATGGTTCTCATAAAACAGAAGTCCTGGTTTAGGAAACCAGGTGAAGAGCAGTCATGCTTTAACACTTGCTGGAAGTACAGTATCAAATGTTGTGATGATGAAATCAAGAAAGCACACACAGAAAGAAATGCAAGCTGGATAATCTCTCTTTCACACAGTTTGTTTGGGTATAACCATTGCTCATGAGTGCTGCATCACATTAAGCAAGAGAAAATGCCCTTTAAGTTACCCTGTTTCCATTTCAAAATGATATCACTACGCAGATATGGTTTAAACCTTTCAAGCCAGTGGGATAGGATTATTTTTAAAGGGAATTTGAATAAAAACAGACACACTAAAATGATTTAAAAGAACAATCAAAGAGTTTTGTAAGCCATACAAAGTATCACGGGAAAATTCAACACGTACTGGGATATCTGCAAGGGAAAAGAGCTGGAATTGCTCTGTTAAGGGAATACCTTGGTAGCCCAGAATTATAAGCTTCACTCCAAAGTTTATCAGAGTCTGATTCAGAGACGAGGGTTAATGATCTGGAATTCAATAGCAGGCCCACAAGCCAATCACTAAAACCATCTCTTAAAATAAATTTATAAAGGCCAAATAAGGCTCACTGTTCTGCTCACCCAGCGTCCTCTTAAATCAATAAAAGATTGTCATCAGAAAATCATATTACTCTGATGGTAATGTCGTAGAATACGACTATTGTAGAATCCTCCAGGCAAGGGTTTTTGTGGGTGATATCTTTTATTGGACCAAATGCATGGTAGGGACAGTTTTAGATAAGCTTTTGAATGTAGGGCATTTTTCTTATACATTTACTCCAACATACTTTTTCTGACATTTTCCAATGGAAGAAGAATTCACATCATCCTTAAGGGGAACAGTAATGCTAAAATCAAAAGCATCTCTCATGTGAGGCTTTCATTTACATGCTACACAAAAATCATCTGGAAGTGTCCCTTGCTAACTATTTCAGAGATAAGGGACTGCCAAATACATTCATAAATGGTCTTCAAGATAGCCCAGGAACAGCACATGACCCATTAGGAAGTACAGAAAAGACAATACTCTGAAACATTCAATGAGAGACTAGTGAAATAGAGTGAACCTCTTCTACAAGGCTATTCTCTGGATTTTAGAGTAGTCAAAGGTAACAAAGCACCACACCTTTGAAACTGGAAAAAAATCAGCAGTAAGATGATTGAAGTCCAAGAGCATTTGATACAAGCACTATAAGAACAAAGGTGTGATCATGTAATGTAGTACGCAAGCATTATGAGGCATTTCTAAAAATATATCCATTTAAATGTTCAAACACTGGAAGCACTGAACTGAAAACCTAGAGCCAAAACAAATCATTCTGTACTAGAATCCATGCTTTTAAAAGGATCGCATATTTGTTTCAAAGAATTAAGGGAGATGTATAAGCAGGCTGCCTGAGTAATGACAATGTAGCAGTTATGCAATGTCACCCTTGCACCTGAACTCATTTCTCTTTTCTAGTAAAGGTATGTTTAGATTGTTGTGAAGGAAGCAGACTCAGGGAGTGCTCTACACTCAATAGCAGCATTTTAGTTAGCTAAGGAGTTGCCTTGAACTCCCTCTGAATGTAGCATAGCATTAACTTGCTTCCAGAAGATTTACCTCAGTGTTGGTCCTTCTGTGTAGAGCGGAGAAAAATGGGATGATTCTCAGGAAATAATATAGCAGGCTCTAATTCCAGTAGTTAGCCTTATAGGTAGGGTGCAGTCTATGTCACTTTTCACCCATCTTTTAGCAGCTGCTTACCATTGCATACAGAAGAGGTGATGTTGTACAGAAAAGGGTAAAATTGTAGACAGCGGATCAACTTCAGGCTGCTCTCGCACTCCAGGCACTTTGTGGTCAAATTCAATGCCTGTCGGAAGACCTGCAGGGCCCCACTGATATTCTTCAGAGCCAAATATGCATTTCCTAGGCTCAGCAAAGTTAGAGGCTACAAAAGAAAAAGTAACTTTGTATCAGCAATAACAAATGTGTTAATAGTTCAAAAATGCAGGTAAATTGTGTGACCTACAAAGTCTGTTGCCTTCTATCCACTCTTAGTGGCTTGAACAGAGGTTCGCAAAGTTTTGGCCCTCAGGAGCCATTTCAAATGGGCAATTCTGAACGGTGGGTGCAGAGGCGTTGCAGGCTGATTCTGGCCTGCGGGTTTTACTTTGGGAACCTCTGAGCTAGAGCAAACAGCTTATAAAGGATGTCATCTTTATATTAAAGATGGGGACTATTAATTCCTAGAACACAGAACAAACAGCTTAAAGTGTTGGCAGTAGAATTAGAACTAGCGCAATATACTGGCTCTGTTTAGGATTTCATGTTTCTAGCTGAGATACACATACAGGTAGATGTAACATTTAATAGCTCATATACTGCTACTATCACAACAGTTTTAAGTTAGTGTGTGTCTCAACCCACTGTTTGATTCTTAATACTAGTAAATGGACACACATACTCAATGCTCTTGGTTAGTCAAAATATTCCCAAAATAAAAGATACTATTATATCTTCTGATTAATGTTAGCAGACATGCTCCAAGAACTTTGCCCCATTCAGAGTGCATTTTAAAAAAATTCACTAGTTTAAATCCTGACAAAATTAAGATTACATTTATGTTTCTCTCTATAAAATAGAAAAGCCCTTTTGAAAGCAAAGTGCTGTTTTTAAAAGGGTATCAACTCTGTGGCTAGGCAACTGACCATACTAATACAACGGGGCAAATGATTTCCTCCACTAGATGAAAAATTCATTGTCTTGGAACGTTTTAAATTAGCTCCAGCTTTCAAAACGTTCCTTGTAATATTAAACACATCTTCCAAAGGGTGCTTGTTCAAGTTTCTACCAACTGTGAAAAATTCATAAAAAATGAATCCATGTCCAGAACAGAGTTAATTTAAATCCATCAGTCTGATGCTTCATCCAATTGTGGTTAGCCAGTCCAATTTTATTTCTGATCTCCACTGGGTATTACTTACTTCTTTGGTGCCTCTAGCAATTCACTGCACATTACTTCATATAACCCTCCATCATCATCATCATCCTTCCCTATTCCTATTCATGCCTTCTTGTTCACGTGGAATTTCCCATACTTTGCAGAAAATTCACTTTAAATATTAACTAGGTTAGTGCTATAGCCAATGCACTAGTTTCTGGTAAGTTAACTGACACTACTGTGATGACAGCAGTGCGAACTCAAACTCGATTGTGATACTCCTATTCTTAAAACTGCAGTAAGTTTGCAAGTGTCACATGAAGAAAATTCTGCTCATGTAATCTGGTTCTTAATGCCCCAGAGGCTGCTCTCCCCCATTATGCCCCACTTTCAAACTTGCCTAATACAATTGCTTCTTCACTCATCGCTATTTCTTTCTTGCTACCCTCTTCTTCTTTGGAATGCTATCTTATAGTACAGCATTGGTTTCATTCGCTTTTAAACCACTGTAATAATGTTGCTCTCTTATATTAAAATATATTTAACATTACACAGCTGATTCTATTTTGCCTCTGTTTAGTTTAAAGTGAATATAGCGCTAGAGGACTGGTAGCCCTGTAATTCAAATCTTCTACTTATCTGACTAACAGGCACAGCGTGAGCAAAAGTCATTCAAGCTTCCCACAGGCACCATCTCCAAAGACTCAATACAATGGGCTGATTGTGAAACATATAATTGCCCAAAGGAAACTAGAATTATATTGATCAACTGCTTTTACTTTGGGTTTTCTGTTTTTTTCCTTTTACACAGTTGTTTTTGGCCAATCTAGTAGTCTTCTCCATCCTAACACAAGTAGAAGAGTTTAAAATGCACTAAGAATGTAACAACTGTACGTCTTTTCTTTGAGAAACTTGTCATCTAAGCAAATGCGGGCTACAAAATGTCAAGCTACCTACAAAGCTTAGAAATACAAGAATTATTATATTTATAGTCATAATTATTAGTAATAAAGTTCATCCAAACCCTTGCAAATTAATCTTTCCCCATGATGGCCTAAGACCTGACATTGAGAAGAGCAAGCAAATTTAAGAAAAAGACATGAGGTTAACAAAAAAGCATCCAGGCAGAAGAGCGAGGAGTTTGTTATAAAGGAACGTCAAGAGTTTCCAGAGACTATTTCTATAACCCACCTCTATTGGAAACACCTTTTAATCAGTAGTGATTTCTAACCCAAGATAAAATTTTCACCTAGCATCATGGATTTCTATTTTAGATATATATAATGACACAGTGACCAGCAGTGTCAGAATCTGAATTCATAACACCATGAAAACCAATTCACTAAACTTCTGGATGTTGACAGGCAACTCTCAAGCCACTTAGTCTTCTAGACATTTATACTCTAAGCATCCAGTGTTACCTGGCACTTTATCTTCCTGATGTAAATCAAACAATGTAGCACCAATTCCAAATTACACACCTGAAGCTGAATTGCATTCATGAGATAGAAACCTGTGTTTGGAGATTAATGAAGTGAACTAACAAGAAAGAAGGAATTTTTATTTACCATGGAGCCAATACAAAAAGCTAAATCTTACCTCAGAGCTATTGATGTCCAAAGCTTTTTGCAGGAGCCTGCTGGCATCCAGGGGAAGGCCATAATGAATCAGAAGGTTGGCTAGATTGACTAGAGGAATATCCTGATATTCATGTGGGGCTAAATTCAATGCTTTTTGCAAGCAGGTGACAGCAAAGGTGCTGTTTCCAACTGCACGCCAGTAGAGTCCAGCCTCATTCAGTACAAGCCATAGAGGATTCCTTGGCTAGGGGGAAGAAGAATAAAAACAAGTCAATGCTCCATCAAGGCACAAACACCTGCCATAAACTCTTATTAACTACACTGTGGCTCCTAGAAGCTAGCTTACCATTTGAAGGCCAAGTGAAGGTACACCAGTTGAATTATAACTTGTTAGTAGCTGATGCTCAACCAGGCCATTGAGCTAGCACTGGAGGCACATAGTTACATTTAACTATTTCTTGTTATGTGTAACAGCCACTGAAGTAGCCATTCCTGGTCCTTGGCCTTTCCAACATGCAAGATCTTTTTCATCACATGCATGTACTACAGGGAGGTTATGGACATGAAAAATCCAGTCTGGATCAAAAAGGAATTAAAAGTAGTTTCAGATCTCCTATCTGATCCCTAGTCTCCTTACCATATTGAGGCTTCAGACTCACATTTTCCAGGAAAAAATTCTATTAATTTGTTTTATGGATAAGGTGCGGTATACTGCCTAAACATGCAGCAAGACTGTCACTGCCACAAAAGGCTAACAATTTCAAATAGGAAGTCACAGATGAAGGACTGGGGGACAAACAGTATGCATAATCAAATATACTTAATACACCTACTTTCCTTTTGACCAAGAAACTCATTTTATAGGAAAGAAGCAATGAAACTACGAAGTGCTATCAAATGGACAAAACAATGTAAAACATTTTCTCTTCCAGACAGACCAGTCTTAGGTGTTTACACAATGTAGATGAGAAATTCAACTGCAACAATCTTCAAAATATTGAAGGAACAACTTTGGTTTAAGGCAGCCTTAGACAAAGAGGGTTACTGCTATCATCAGATGCACTGAATGATTTTAATACACTATAAAACATTTTTGCCTGACATTTCTTGGGTAACAGTCTGTAGCTGTAAAAAATCTAAAGGCCCTGCTCCAAGATACCATGTAAAAAGTCCTTCACAAAAGAAAATACATCTGGTACCTTCACTCCCTCCATACACACACTTTTGGAGCATGCCATGAGAAACTGCTTTTAGGCTACTGATTTCTTTACCAATTTTACAAGATGCAAAGAGCCTCCCTCCCAAACACATCTAAGTTGTATATTTTCACTGAAAATAGTTGCAAGGCAGTGCACAGTTCCTTTCCTCTCTGTCCACACAGTCTAAAACAGACATACAAGCAAGACCTTTCTATCTCTGGCATGGTAAGGATATTGTTGAGACTTTAACATGATGTCTCTCAACATAAGGCTGACATTTAAATACATTTAAAAGATCAAACCTTTTATAGGCTGATGTAGTATTTCTCCAGGAAGACCATGATGCCAACTGCCATAATCTTGCTCTGAAAATGCCTCCAATACTTTGCAACTGATGTGCATAAGCATGACAGTGTGCTTATGCCAACAGCTGACTGACTAGGAAGTTAATTAGTCAGAGAAGATTTTCAGTGTAAAGGCTATAAAATAACTGGATATTACTGCAGTAAGAAGACCTATGCACAGGATGGTCACTTAAAGAAAATCAGGAGTAAGAAGGTCCACTATTTTCCTACTTATGTGCAAGTAAGAGATGCATAAAATACTATGTTCAGACTCTGAAAAAAGGATGCACATATATACACCTGATTTAAGAAGCCATACAACAAGGTTAATTTTACATTTACCAAGATTTAACATGATTTCTTCAAAAAAAATCTTCTCTCCCCTGGACATTTGTTGTCTTTTGTATTGTGGCAGAATTCAAAAGCCCCAAAACAAGACCGGGGCTCCACAGTGCTAAGTACTGTATGAACACTAAATGGTTTCTTCCCCAAAGATCTTTCAGTCTAACCAGACAAGGCAGACAAAAAGTGGAAAAAAGGAACATAAGCATAACAGGTCTACCACTCTGCTATATTCACCAGGCAAGGTATCTGTTAACTTCTTGTGTCAGTGAATTAGTTAAATCAAATTCCAGCATTTATTGACAATCAAAAAGTCTCTATTCACTTCACAATTCTTGTCTCACCTTCTTAATGGCATGATAGATGAATCCTCCTATTTGCTCCTCTGTAATAGTTTGATTATTGATGCGAGAATGCAAGATCTGAACATGAAAAAACGTTTAACAAAATAGATGAGTGATATTAAAGTGATGGTTTCAAACATACATTTTACAGGATGAGCCTGTATGGATTCCTCAAGTCTCTTGGCCCTAAAACTTAGATTTCTTCTTCTGTATTAAAGTTAACAGGGCTGACCTGTATAGATATGCTGTCAGTAGTTTAGGGAAGGAGAGAAGAATTATTATAAAGAGTGGTCAGAAAATGCAGTGGGCAACAGATGGAAAAAAACCCATCAAAATTACTGATTTGGTAATCTGCTGGCAATCTTAAACAACAAGAAAGAAAATAAACCCAATTATTTTATTTCCTTATAGTCCTTAGATCTTTTAAAACAAAGTAGAACTTTCTATATTAACTATCAGTCTGTTCCACATACTTCGGATAGGCTTTTGAAGAGACTACATTACATGACACACATGGAAAGGCACTCAGAATACTTGAACCCAATGCTGAGAGCCCTCATGTGCAATGGTTTTGCCATGCTGAAAGCACTGATCATTCTGAGGGATGAGGCTCACCTTTTAATTACCAGAATCTGTCAGATCCTGAAGATCTTATATCTATAGCAATGAAGGAGACACACAAAGAGCAGAAGAAATAACTTATGAAAAAAGTGCCTCTTACTTGTCGTGCTTGATCATCTGGCATTTTAAATTTCAGATCTAGATGACTGTCTAAATCTTTGAAAAATAGGTATTGAGTTTCATTGTTGCGGGCATCAGTAATAGAGGAACAATCTGGCGGTGGTATTTCTTCATGTGCAGGGGCTTTTTCTAAGCCATCTGGGATTGAATGGACCCTGGCAGTGAAAAGAATGAAAATAAAATATAACTATGTTTCGAACCACTGGAAGGTACAACAGGAGGCAAACAAGTGGCACACTACATTTCATACACAAGTTAGGGGACAGTCACCTTGGAACCAGGTCTCCTGACCTAGATATGGCTGTAGTGTATACACAATATCTTAAGTAACAATCATCCTTTTGTAGGCAGAGAAATGGCCTCCAGAACTGCTTCCTACTGATCAGCTAACAGGAGACACCATCTTTTACAACCACAGGTGAAATCTTATCTAAGATAGCATGACAGTGACCACATAACTAAACAAATAAAAGATACACATGGGTATCCACCATAGATAAAATCAAGACTTGCCTGAGACCCCTGTTTTCTGGAGGTAGGAAATAAGTGGGTAGTTCCTCCGGGTCAGGGATTGTTGGGAAGGATTTCACACAGTCTGCTCTTTTAGGCCAAAGAATATGCTGTTTTTCCTAAGTGCAAAGAAAAATAGCCTTTATGAATTGCTGAGAATAAACTGAATTCATTAATCTTGTTTAGCTTTAGATTCATTAGCTAAGAATGAGAAATATTCTATGATGACAGAAGAAATAAAACTTTAACGTAGTGGTTCCCAGGCTTTCCTGAGCACTGTGGCTGTAACAACCAAGTACAGTGGTTCTCAACCTTTTTAGACCCAAAGCACCCCTTGGAAAAATGCCAGCTCTTAGTTCTCACTCATTTTTAACATAGCAAGTCTTCTGTAGCAAAGAGCTTAGAAAGACTGAAACAGGTCAAAATATTTTTGACACTATGGATTCTCATCCGAAATCTCTCTGGGTTTATCTTGTGAATCATGTTTGCGTACCAAACAATGCCAACATGGTGTGGCACCCTGGTTAAGAATCACTGGCCTGGTACTTTCCACCATCTACCCAATGGTGCTGTTCAATGCTACAATGAATGTTTGGACACTAGACCCCATTTGTGTTCACAAGAGCAGACCAATCCACAACTAGTAGAGTCAACAACACTTCTGTTGAAGAAAGACAGAAATGGTACACTAGTAATCAGAATGCATTAGTACCACAAATGGTACACTAGACAACTTATTAGACAATAGTCAACTTTGAACACACTCATAAATACACATCAGTAGTTGGGCACCTCAGCATCAAAAAATGTCTCTGAAAAAGAAAAATGTTAATTATGGCCCTGTATAAAAGAGCAGAGGTCAGTATGTTTACTCACCCTGTAGGCATCTGATTCCATGTCCCATAGTAAAACAACAGAATGAGCAACAGGAGAAGACAGCACAGAATGGCTGAGATCACTTTGGTTTGAGTGAAGATCTAAATTCAGAGATGTCATACTGGAAGTTGATGAGTCCTCGCCAAACTGATAAGAGGTGGGGATACTAATATCGATCATTTTTTCTTACGCAGAAGTACAAGTTCTTGATCTGTTAACACTGAATAACTGTAAAAGTGTTCACTTTTTATCATTTTTACTCTTTCATTCTTCAATTTCACCTATAATGGTTAAAACTACATGGGACAACTTTTAAGTCATTTTATACATTCTGATCCTTTTGCAACAGGACAACGTTATGATATGTAGGCTGCAAAAATATCAGGAAATATCAAATTAAAATAATGAAAACTGGAAAATCATGCTAAAGATAATCATAAAAATGTATATTAATACTGAGGGCTTGTAAACCTTCTGCAAACATAAAGGGCTTAAATACAATACAGAGTTTAGCATTCTGAGAGTAAACCTCTAGATTCAAGTCAGAGTTACTAAGATTTTTGATCAGTTAAAATAATTTTGATTATCTGAACTGATGATTACTGCAGGTAAGAATGAAATTCTAAAATACATTTAAACAGTAAATAAAAAAAAGAAATGTCATACATAACATAACCACAGGTAAAATATTTAACGGTTTAAACATATCAGATATTCAAAGACAAAACTATCATTTCAGTCTAATCTGCAGCTTTACTGTGGCACTGAGGTTGGTTTGCATGGGTTTTATTTTATACTTTTAAGCTGCATAATTGTTTCAGCTTTTCTTGGTGCACTATTAAACCCAAAGCATTCCTAAGCGTTAACCAACTTGAAACTGGAACAAGGACCTAATGGAAATGCTGTTCCAATTTATATTCTGATTATTGTTGTATAGACAATACTCATATTGTCACTCATCTCTTAGGAATGAAAATATTGCTAAACATAACACCAATGAAACTGAAATGGGGAGGTGCCAATTACAGAGTTATGCAGGTTTGTTTTAGGAGGTGGTGTAAGGCTAATTGCTTGACTATTAAAACAGAAGAAATGCTATCATTTTCATTATCATTTCATTTTAGTACTATATGCTTTTAAACTATAATTTTTCTTTTAAATTATCATTTTGGGGTACACAATGTTTCATTGGAAAAGTAATCCTTATTCCATACAAAATAACTTATGTGGATCCAAGAAACCTTTGCTTTTATGTACATTAGCAACTGAGTGCATATTTGCAGTCTTCAAAAGTAAAACTAAATTTGATGTTTTAGATGTCTTTGGGCATATGCTAGCTAGATGAAATTTAGCATATTCATGTAAAGAGATGAATGACTGCACCCCTCAAATAATTTGTCACCCATTCTTAGTAGAAAGAGGGCACTACTTTGTTCAATTATTCTATGCAGATAAAAAAATACAGCTGAAACATGGCAATGCTTGCTATTTTCCAGAAAATGCACTAGACTACTTCCTCTACAAAACAGTTTTTAACTAAATTGAAGAGAACCCTTTATTTTTCCCTCCTCCCTTTGTAACAGAAAAAAACCTTTAATAGGTGATGAAGGGCTTTGGCTCTCCTATAAAAGGCTCATTGGAAGTCGCAGTAGAACAATGTATCTTTAACTCCGTGGAGGGATCATAGCATCTCTAATGTTTTATTTTACCATTTAAAAACAATCGTGGGTGTAACAATTACTGACTTCTCAGCCTCAAAGGAAATGAGAGGTTTTGCTAATAAGGGGCAGAAGTGATGAACATTACTTGAGTGATCAGAAACAATGCTGCCCATTCACAGACAAACCTGAACATATTCTACATTTTCATAAATGTCTCCACGATGATAGCGAACAGGTTGGTCCCACTGACAGTGCAAACTGTGCTGCTGCTTGCCCAATGGACAAATTTGATGGTTCCCTGTGGGGCACAAACATGAAAAAACTTTTATAATTATGAAAGAGACTATTATTTCTGAACAGGACAGAATGAACCTACAAATCCAACTATAGTTTGACAAGGTTTCTTGCAACACAGTCTAAGTGAAATTTTGGTTTACAGAAATTCACATCTGCTTTTCTTATGTCATCTTGTAGTACTTCTTGTACTTCAGCCACTTCAACCACGTCAGCCTTTTTTTAGATAGAAAGCACAAGCATTCTTCCCAGTAAGAAAACCATGAACATATTTGAGGATACAGGATTGATATAACCTTCTAACTGTAATGTCCTGAGGATATGGATGACCGGAGCCACGCAAACAGGCTGCGCAAACAGGTGCGCTTGTCTGCCTGGCACGTGAGTTAGCGCAGGAGGGTGCACAGGAGGGCCTGAGGCCCTGCCTGTACGCCCCCTAGGGTAGGCATTCCTAGCTGTAGCCGGCCTACTAGTGGTATGCTGCGGATAGGCACGCGCCGCAACCTGAGGGTCCCCTCAGAGTCTGCAGCCTCCCCCTCTGGCGCCTCAGAGGCCTCCACCCAGACGGAGCCCATGGTTGCGGGCTCCACACAGACGGAGCCCCAGGCAACAGGCTGCGGGGGCTGCCTGTCGCCTTTTCAGGCTCTGGGGCCCAGGAGCATGGCCACCTCCCCTTGTGAGGTCTGCTCCCTTTTGGGGTCTCTGGTGCACCAGCTGAAGGAGCTCCAGGCCGCAGTCCAGAGACTGCGTGCCATCAGGGACTGTGAGCAGGAGATTGACTCCTACTGCCAGGCCCTTCTTCCCTGGGAGATGGAGGGTAGACCACACTCTCTCTCCAGGACAAGGGAAGACTCGGGGACCTCCCCTTCTGTCCAGCCAAGGGGTTGGACCAAGGTGGCCAAGGGCCCCAAGGCCTGCCGCACCAAGGTCCCTGACCCGCTGGAGATCTGCAACAGGTATGAACCTCTTGCAGCCCCAGCAGAGCCTGCTAGGCTGCCAGCTCCTGCAGGCAACACAGGCTCAGCTGTAGCTACTGCCCCTGCTCTCCCTAAGACAAAACGCAGTGTTTGTTGTGGGAGACTCCCTCCTGAGGGGGACTGAGGGAGCAATCTGCCGCCTTGACCCCTTAGCCTGGGAAGTCTGCTGCTTCCCAGGAGCCTGAATCCGAGACATTGCGGAGAAGATCCCTAAACTCCTCCAGCCCACTGACCACTACCCTATGCTCCTCATCAATGTGGGCACCAATGACACGGCTCTGAGCGTCCCCAGCTGGGTCATGAAGTGCTACAGGGATTTGGGAGCAGGGCTTAAGGGGTTGGGTGCACAGGTGGTGTTTTCTTCGATCCTCCCAGTCTTGGGCTACGGGCTGAGGAGGGAGAGGAGGATCCAGGTAGTAAACCAAAGACTGTGGCGCTGGTGTCATCAGGAAGGCTTTGGCTTCCATGACCACAGCCCACTCTTTGGTGAGAGATGCAGCGAGCTGCTGGGAAGGGACAGCCTCCACCTCTCTCTGCTGGGGAGGAGGATCTTCTCAAACAGACTGGCTGACCTGCTCCACCAGGCTTTAAACTAAGCCCGCTGGGGGACGAGGGGACCAAC